CATTTATTGATTTATTAAAAGAATTTTGTTTAAAAAATTCTCTAAACTATATTCAATATGATCATTCAAAAGATTCAAATCATATAAAACATCGTATTGAACTTTTTTATAATGCTAAATATATAATTGGTGTTCATAGTGGAACTCTATCAAATATGAATTTTGCTCAATCAAAAACAACAATTATTGAAATCATGTCTCTTCCAATGACTTGTTCTATGTTTTATCCTGCAGATTTAAAAGCATGTGCAGGTTATAGTTTATATACTCAATCTCAACTATTAAATCAAACCTACTGGATTTTACCTACGGTTGTTAATGATCAAGGAAATATGAATATGAATTTAAATCGATTCAAAATACTTTTACAAAAAATTTAATCGTTTTTTTTCAACTCAATAATAATAAAATAATAAATCTTCATTAAATTTATTTTGTTTAATAAAATTTCGTGTTTTATTTTCATAATAATTATCGTCGATTGAGGTGTTTGAATGTGAATGTGAATAAATGGAAGCTCCATACTCACGTCCTAGGACTACGGATGCACCAGTGCCAGTATTTTTAGCTTACTAACATCACCAGTTTCAGTGAGTATCAGTATTGGAGGTTTCAGTCAATAAAGCGTCCAATACTGGTTTATTCCTACCTAGGACTGTTTTGTCCCAATCTTACCAAATCCCACGTCGCAAATCGTCGGCAGCTTATGGATAATGATGGTTTCGAATTATGTAAAACTGTTGGATGGCTTCAGATCCAACAGAATGAACTCGTCTCTATGGGCACTGACAAGTAATGACTGATATCTATCGACATCTATATCGTGAAACGAAATTAGATGGATTGTAGGGGTAATCATGTGCACATCATGGAGCCAGAAAAAAGGAGAATCGACTCTAAAAAATGTCAAGCGTCTTACAAGATGGTTCATGTGTCTAAAGTCTGATTTAGACGCTAAATACGTCTTGTTTTTAGACATGTACTGACTACAGACAGGAAAGCGTCTTAAGTTCCTCTTTCTCGTAAAACATTGTTATAGCTATTGACCAATAGATCAATTTTTTACTTTCTTTCGTAGCTATGAGAATTTACTTTCGGATGTGAAACAAAGAGTCTTATTCGATTTTTTGTAAATATTTAGGATTTCACTCTTT